CTTGAATCCCCCAGGACCACCACTTTCTCGTCTATAGATGACAGTTGACTAGTTACATCGAGTCATTTGCACCAAGGGGAGGGTGGTCTAATGGTTACATCAGGTCCTTTGCAGCAGGGGGAGGGTTGCCTAATGGTTACTCCCAGATGCAGCAGCTGCTGCAGTTTGGCAGAGAATTTCCAGTGGTCCGTCCCAAGTCCCCTTTCCTGGAAAGCCATCCCCAATCCTCCTCTTCAGGCTGAAACCATCCGTCCTTCAGCCTGCACCCTCAGAATTCTGGGCTGTTATAGCACCACCACTTTCAGATCTGGATATTTGTTTACATTTCTGAGATCCCCTAGGATTGAAAATTCCTTGGAGGCCGGGCACGGTGGCTCACGCCTGTAATTCCAGCACTTTGGGAGGCCGAGGTGGGTGGATCACGAGGTCAGGAGTTCGAGACCAGCCTGGTCAACATGGTGAAACTCCACCTCTACTAAAAACACAAAAATTAGTTGGGTGCAGTAGCAACCTCAGCTACTTGGGAGGCTGAGGCAGGAGAATTGCTTGAACCCGGGAGATGGAGGTTGCAGAGAGCAGAGATTGCACCACTGCACTCCAGCCTGAGTGACAGAGCAAGCCTCCATCTCGGGGGGAAAAAAAATTCCTTGGAAACCAGCACCTAGTACGGTGGCTGGTGCGTAATCAGGGCTGAAGGCCTATTCTAGGGATGAGCAGAGGAGGAGAGGAAATGACAGGATGAGGAAAGAGAACGAAAGAGAATAGAATTTCAGAAAACAGAGCAAGGCAATGGGCAATGTGGGGCAGACAGAGCTTGCTGATGACCCCTTCTGCCCTGCTCTTCACATCACATCAGGTAAGCAGCTGCCTCTGAGGCCTAAAAGGAGGATTTGACACAGCGGGAATCCGGCAGAGTGAGTCTCTCTCCTTTTCTATACCAGTGACAAAAGCAGTCAGTTTTGACTTGCTCGGGTGTAAACTATGCAACTGATGAATATTTTACAACAATTTTTTTTGAAATCCTGGGCTAGGTTTTCTTTCCCACAATGTGGTTCTGGGACATTTTCCCTTGTAGTCTGTCACTGTATGCTCCAGAATGAGAGCTAATTTTAATATAAGCCTGAGCCAAACATAAAATGTGCAGTTAAAAGGAAACAAGGCATTAAAAACAAAAACAGCTTTTGAAAACTCTCTTCTCAGGTTCCGGAACATTGCTCTTTTCCCACCCTGGATTTCTTCTCTACCTTCTCTGCTGCTCCTGTGCCTCTGTCCAACCCTGAGCTCTGTCCTTGTTCTCCTACTCCTGCCACTCATAGGCACACTGTCTCTCTCAATTTCATGTATGCTCCTGTCATCGGCTACACCTATATGCTGCTGATTAGCAAAGCTATGTTCCTGAGCTTCAGACTCATCAACCCCACTGCACAAACAGTATCACCTAGATATGCCATAGGAACATCAAAGGCAATATCCTCCAAAGTGAAAAGTATCAGCGAGCTCCCCCTACACTCAAAGTGAAATGTATCACCTAGCTTCCCACCACACTCTGAAATGTATCAGCTAGCTCCCTGCCCAGACCTGTTTGGTCACACCCAATCTTGGCTACTAAAACCACTATCCACCCAATTGCCCTTGCAGGAAACCTGGGTGTTAGCCTAGAGCCCTCCTTTCTTTTACCCTATACAAAATTAATCACCAGGTGTGGTGGCTTATGCCTGTAAGCCCAGCACTTTGCGAGCTGAGGTGGGCAGATCACTTGAGGCCAGGAGTTTGGTACCAGCCTGGTCAACATGGAAAAACCCCATTTCTATTAAAAAATACAAAAATTAGCCAGGCGTGGTGGCGTGCACTTGTGGTCCCAGCTACTCAGGAGGCTGAGGTGGAAGAATTGCTAAAACTCAAGAGGTGGAGGTTGCAGTGATCCAAGATTGTGCCACCGCACTCCAGCCTGAGCTACAGAGCCAGGCTCTGTTTCAAAAAGGAAAAAAATAAGATTAATCACTAGGTTATACCAATTTTACTTTCTATTGTTCTTCTCGCTCTCTTCTGTCTCTGTCCAGTTCAGTCTCTTATTACCTAGCATCAGGACTATGACAATCGTCTTCTTGTTAATCTTGGATTAATCCTGTAAATCCCCAGGCCAATTCTGTCTTGCACACATCTGACAAAGGGATTGCGTGGACGCTCAAAGCCAGTCATGTCACTTCCTTGTGCACAAGTCTTTTCATGACTTTAATTCACCCGTGACAACAGTTCCCAAAGTCAGGGCTGTGAGATGCTACAAATCCACAAGACAGAGTTCTGTGGGAAATGCTGCATGTACAGCCACATTTTGGATATTCTCAATGCATGTCAGCAGAGCAAACGTTCTCATAACTTTTCTAGTTTCAAAAAAACTATCTCTTTAACCAAGCATTTTCCAACTAATTTGTAGAACCACTTTTACATATTATATCTACTAAACCATGAAACACATTTGTGCAAATCTTAGTCTAGAGAAATCTATATTCATTTTATGTGTGTGTGTGTGTGTGTGTGTGTGAGAGAGAGAGAGAGAGAGAGTTTCACTCTTGTTGCCCAGGCTGGAGTGCAATGGCACAATCTGGGCTCACTGCAACCTCTGCCTTCCGGGTTCAAGTGATTCTCCTGCCTCAGCCTCCCGAGTAGCTGGGATTACAGGCATGTGCCACCACGTCTGGCTAATTTTGTATTTTTAGTAGAGATGGGGTTTCTCCATGTTGGTCAGGCTGGTCTTGAACTCCCAACCTCGGGTGATCCACCTGCCTCAGCCTCCTAAAGTGCTGGGTTTACAGGAGTGAGTCACTGTAGCCAGAGGGATAATTCTATATTCTTATACATAGCCATGAGGGTCTTCGTAATTCAGCCTCCCTTTACTTGTCCAGACTCATTTGCTATTATTCCTTCCTCTGTATCCCCTGGTACTACGCAGCTACTGTAATGGGAGTGCCCCCATCTGGACTTTGCAATGCTGTTTCCTCTGTCCAGAATACCCTGCCCTTACCGCCCTCCTTGGAAGTCCGACTTATTATTCAAGCCTCATATTAAACACGCTTTTGTGAAGCTTCACAGGCTCTCGTAGGCAGGTTAGCATTCCACTGCACTTTACCGCAGCTGCCACTGTGGGCAGTGACAATAGGTGTGCCTGCCTGTCTACCCTCTCAACCAGGAGCACCCTGGGTGTGCAAGATCCAGCACACGGCCTGGCACAGAATGGGAGAAAGATGCTTGTCATTTTAGTAGACTGCTGAATTCTATTTCTTTCTTTCATTAGTGTAAGAAATTAAGAGCTGACTCCATAATGAAAACATCATTTTGATACCAATTTTCCTTTCAGAATTATTCAATATTTGTTTTAAAAAATCAAGTAATGGGCCAGGCATGGTGGTGGCTCACAAGTGTAATCCTAGCACTTTGGGAGGCCAAGGCGGGCAGATCACTTGAGGTCAGGAGTTTGAGACCAGCCTGGCCAACATGGTGAAACCCTGTCTCTATGAAAAAATACAAAAATTAGCTGGGCATAGTGGCACATGCCTGTAGTCCCAGCTACTCAGGAGGCTGAGGCAGAAGAATCACTTGAACCTGGGAGGTAGAGGTTGCAGTGAGCCAAGATCACATCACTGCACTCCAGCCTGGGTTACAGAGTAAGACTCAGTCTCAAACAAACAAACAAACAAACAACAACAAAAAAAAGGTAAGTGTGAATATTTAACGTGTATAAAAATCCAGATACATTATCCTCCACTGACAAGGATTAGTGGCTTTCATGACTAGCACTGAGGGACAGAAGTGTGAACAGGATGGTAGCTGGTGCGCGCTTGCTAGCTGGGGCTCCTTAGTCTGTGCACTTTGCCACAGTGTTTGCATAAGTTAGATCATGCATCTGCATTAACTTTAAACTCTTCTCTATGTATCATTCCTGTGCCAAGTCATTTTAGTTCCCTGGAAGACTCTATGAAAAGACTGGTTAACATTTCCATAACTGAAAAGATACCTCTAACAGTGAGTCATTTAAGAAGCATACAACCTTCCTGCAATTTTGTTTCTTCACATATCAACTTGATGTCCCTGTTTATCATCAATGAATTCAGTGAATGAACTGTATAATCCCTGCCCTGCTAATCTAGCTATAATTGATTTTGATGAGTCAGTAAAGAGATACGACTGCTTTCTCTGACCACATCTATTTGTTAATCCTTCATGACGAGGGAAATAACCTGAGAGATCACTATTTGCCTTATACTTGGAGAAAGAACTAACTCAACTTTAAACTGCGATCAAGACACTAATCCTTTAAAACTTCCCTAACTATTCCTCACTAAAAGCTTACCATTAATCTAAATAAGGTCTACTTGAATTCTCATGTCATTAATGAAACACAACAAAATGTGGATTTTTCCCTTGAAGGAGGAAGCTCATAGAGTCCCTTATTAGAGACGTCATCAGTGTAGGGCAAAAACATCCAACAATACAAACAGGTTTGTTTTTTGTTTTGTTTTGTTTGAGATGGAGTCTCGCTCAGTTGCCAGGCTGTAGTGCAGTGGTGTGTTCTGGGCTTACTGCAATCTCTGCCTCCCAGGTTCAAGCGATTCCCCTGCCTCAATCTCTCAGGTAGCTGCGATTACAGGTGCACACCACGATGCCTGGCTAATTTTTTTATATTTTAGTAGACACGGAGTTTCACCATGTTGGCCAGGATGGTCTCAATCTCCTGACCCCATGATCCGCCTGCCTCAGCCTCCCAAAGTGCTGGGATACAAACAGGTTTTAATATAAGTAGGGGAGACACGGAGACTGCCTTGGTTTTAATTCCTGGCTCTGACCTTACTAACAGAAAAAATTTGTTCAAGTCACTTGCACTCTCTGTAATTCAGTTCTCTCCTCTTCCTCCTCTGTAATATCTGTCTCCTATGGCTTTGACCAGGAATAAAAGTAAGTGTGCTTGGAATGTTACGTGGCACATAGCAAATGCTTACTAAAAGTGAGCTGTTCTTCTGCTCGCTTAGGCAGCACATAGATGATACAGAGAAGATTAGCATGGCCCCTGCGCAAGGATGACATGCAAATTCGTGAAAAGTTAGCTGTGCTTGTAAGTAATGTGGTAATACCAGCACTTGTGGATACTGATTAAAACTGTTTTGGGAGCCAAGCCAGGCAAGCTGATTGATGGGGGAGGGGGCCAATCACTTGCCTCCAAGTGGTGTCCCAAAACAACAGCCGACTCCCACAGCACAGCCCACCGTCAGGATATCAGAGTAGTAGTATGGCTGCTACTAGGGGAGAGACAGACAGAGAGACAGGTGGAAGAGAGGAAGGTGGGCAGACAGAGGACAGGAGAACACACAGGGATGGGGAATAAGGCAGAATGAGAGGACTAAGTCTCAAGGAGTCCTTGTGGTCCCATTTTCCCCTGTGATTCCCAGGCCAAGAGAAGCTCTGTGAGTTTTGCACAAAGGAAGTGACCTCACAGCACAGTGCCATAATGAAATAGAAAGTAGAAAATGAAATAAAAGTTAGGCAAATAGGCCGGGCATAGTGGCACACACCTATAATTCCAGCACGTTGGGAGGCCGAGGCAGGCAGATCACCTGAGGTCCAGAGTTCGAGACTAGCCTGACCAACATGGAAAAACCCTACCTCTACTAAAAATACAAAATTAGCCAGGCGTGGTGGCACATGCCTGTCATCCCAGGTATTGGGGAGGCTGAGGCAGGAGAATCACTTGATCCCAGGAGGCAGAGGTAGTGGTGAGCCAGGATCCAGCCACTGGCAAATATGTCAGGCAAGTAAAACAAATGATAACCAGAAAAGAGACAGCAAGAACTCCAGTAAGCAGTACTAATAAATCCTGCAGCAAGCAGCAACCAGTCTCAAAAGAATACACAGCCCTTTGGTGAAAAAATATAGGTGTCTGGACTCCAGGGGCCGTGATCCACAATCACTCCCTGGATGCCACTCCAAAGCTTGTGGCAGCCACCCAAACCCCCTCTTCTGGATCTTGCTTAGGCAACCGGGGTAGGGAGGAAGTGCAACTTGCCTCCAACAGGGGCTGCAAAGCAGCATCCCACGCCCACTGCACAGGCCGACACCAGGAGGTCAAGCTGCCCAGGCATGGTCTGCAACAGAGAAGCAGGCGGGCAAGGGGTGGAGGGATGGGGCAGGCAGGCATATGTAAGAGGTAGGGTGAGGGATTGGGAGCTACAAAGGGATGAGGCAGCACAGGAGGGAAACATGGAGGGAAACTGACAGAGAGGGCGTGGTATGGATTAGCGGGGAGAGCATGGGAGCAGACCACAGGCCAGTCCTCCATGTGGGGGGCACAGATCAAAGAGGGGTGGGCATTAGGACAGGCACAGGCTAAACCGAGGCATTAAGTGGCTAGGGTAGGCGGACAGGGGAAGAGGAAGGGAGAGGGGATTAGTGCGATGCCCCTTTCAGCACCACAGCCAGCCCAGAGCAGAGGCAGCTCTCCCAACACCCGACACACAGCCGGACTCCTTCTGCCACCTGGCCCCAGCTCATTTCACTGCCTCAACCTTACCTCATACACCCCGCAGAACACAGACATGAACTTGCTGAGGACAGCAGCACAGATGCTGGCAATGTGGACGAAGGGGCCCTGGGAGAGAGAAGAGCGAGGAATCGGGGGTCAAAGGCCAGATGGAGGCTCTGTAGCACTCACTGGACTCATATCCTTACTCCAGGCACTGTGCCAGGGGATGGAAATACAGGAGTTACACAGAGGTCCTGCCCTTATGAGGCTTCATCCCAGAGAGGAGGAAGAGGAGAAACCAGTGTGTTTCTCCTCTTGGAGTTCAGGTAACACCAAGGGCTGTGAAGAAAATCAGGGTGAATAGGGGGACAGAGAGCCAGGGTGGAGGAGGGTGGGAGGGCATGTGTTTAGAGAAAAGGGCCTAAGGAGCCTCCTCGATAGAGAGAAGCACCTTAAGTGATGGGAGGGAGGGAGCATGCAGATGTCAGGAGGAAGAATGTTCCAGGCTGAGAAAACAGCACACAGGGCAGAGTGACTGAGGGACAGAAAGGAAACCTATGAGCCAAATACATGGGAGCCAGGGCAGAGGCCTGGAGAGAGGAGGAGCCGGAATCCACCGTCTCAAAGGTTATGTATGTAGGAAGTTCCAGTTAGGGTGGGCACGGTGGATCACACCTGTAATCCCAGCACTTCGGGAGGCCAAGATGGGCAGATCACCAGGAGTTGGAGACCAGCCTGACCAATATGGTGAAATCCTATCTGTACTAAAATACACAAAAAATAGAAAAATTAGCCGGACGTGGCGGCATGCACCTGTAGTCCCAGCTACTCTGGAGGCTGAGATAGGAGAATCTCTTGAACCTGGAAGATGGGGGTTGCTGTGAGCTGGGATTGTACCACTGCACTCCAGCCTGGGCAAGAGAGCTAGAAGAGCTAGACACCATCTCAAAATAATAATAATAATAATAATAATAAAATAAAAAAAATTCTGATTTTATTTTAAGAGGCATGGAAGCCTTAAGAAGTTTTTGACCAAAGGCCAGACATGACTGATTCCATTTTTAAAAGATGCCTCTGGCTGCTGGGTGGAATGTGGCAGTAGGGGGCAAAGATGCTCTCCAGCAGAGAATGGAAGGAGGCTGCACCCCACCGAGCAGCCTTGAAAAAAGCACAGCCTCTTTCTCAGATTTAAGCAAGAAAATTGGTCTGGATGATCATTAAGACTGGTTTTCAACCATGGGAGATTTTGTCCTCTGGGGCCCATATCGCAATGTTGGAGGACTTGCTGGTGTCACCACTGGGGGGTGCTGTTGAGCATCTAGAGAGGGTCAGAGGCCAGGGATGCTGCTAAGTCCTCTCCACTGCCCAGGACAGCCTCCCACAGCACAGAATTTTCCAGCCCCAAATGTCAGGGGTGTCCAATCTGAGAGCCTGCTCCAAGCTCCCCAAGCTGTGCGGCTTTTGTCGTTGGACCCCAGGTGGAGGACCTTCCAAAGCATTTCCCCTTCCTAATGTCCCCTGGTCCTGGTCTTGGTCCTGTCCCCGATCCACTTCCACTCCCAGAGCTCCCTCTAGAGTCGGTGCCACCCTGGCTCCCAAGGGTCCTTCCTGGCTCTTGCCTCAGTCATGCCAGGCCTACCTCTTTCCCCACAGGGATGCCACTGCCCAGACCCGCAGTCAGGGCGACCACCTTGGCCACAAAGGCTTTCATCGTGAGATACTCCTTCAGGACAACCCCACGAAGTATTGTCTTCATCTCGGGGATTCCGGAGCCTAAAGGCGTTGAAGGATTAGATGCAGGGTCAAGGTGGAGGTTAAAAGGGAGATGAACGTCCGGAACGTGGCAATGGGAATTGGGTAGGGGCGGATGAAGAGGCAGGGTGGGGAGGATGGGGCGAAGCAGCACAGGGCTGTGGGTGGGGCTGGACAAGGGGGAGACAGAGAGGGCCCCTCTCAGGCCACCCAGCTCAGGCTGTCTGGTGGCAAGTTCTCACCAACAGCCTGCGGAGAGATGAGGTGGCAGAAGAGGGCACTGAAGAGGATGAGGACGAGTGGGAAGGTGACCCAAACCAGGAACTGCAGAGGAAGGCTGGGCCGCATCTGAGCGTAGGACCACTTGTAGGCTGCAGAGACCCATGCCTGGGGTTAGGCAGAGCGTGGCTGAATGGCCACGTCTGCGCACCAGCCAGTATATCCGGCGTGTTCCCAGGCCGTGCTCATTCTGTGTGCCCTTCCCTAGACGGTACTGCTCTCATTTGACACATGGGAAGCCTGGGTTGTGGGAGGTGACACGGCCTGTTCCAGTTGGTGGGTTGGTGGCTGTGTCACGAATCCCACTGGAGTACTGGGGCTGGAGGCCTGGGTGTGACAAACCACCGAGTGTGCCCAGAACTGAGGGGCTTCCTGGGATTTGGGATGTTCAGTGCTGAAACTGGGAAAGTTCCTGGGAAACGGGGGCAAGCTGGTCACCCTAATAGAGGGGCACCCACTGCTGGGGTGGCAGTGAGTGGAGGGGCGTGAGAACTGGGGCAGGCCTGGGTCTGGCCTTTTCTGGGCCTAGAGTCCCACCTGATCCCTCTCTGTGCAACATCCACTTCCCACAACACACCCTGCTTCCCTCGGTAGAAACTCCAGAAGCAGCTGTGGGCAAAGGTCCAGGTTAAACCTACCCTGAAGGCTTTTGGCACTAACGTAGTCCATGCTCCAGCTGACCAGGGCCATCAGCAGCCCCAGAAGCACCAGAAAGATCCAGTCTTCTCCTAACTTTCTTCTCACAATCTGTTCCAGGCGGCGGACACAATCTAGGAAGAGATGAGGGTGTACAGAGAGAGAGAGAGAGAGGGAGAGAGAGAGAGAGAGAGAGAGAAAAGAAAAAAAAAAAAGCAGCTAACCAGTCACTACTTTGGGTGTGAGACTCAGGAGGGGAAGGGAGGCTTGGGCCCTCAGGGTCTTGTCTGTGCATCTTATGCACTGAGTTTCTCACTATCCTTCTGCCGATTGCTGCCCTGGCCCCTGCAAAAGGCACCAAAGTCCAATTCCCCATGAATACTTGAATTCCTTTCTAAAACTCATTTCTTGGAGTTGGGGAAGGAATAACAGGGAATAGGGAAAGTGCGAAGGACGTGGAGAGAGGTGCCTTTTCCTCATTACTTAGAGAGGCCAAGCATGGTGGCTCACGTCTCTAATACCAGCACTATGGGAGGCCAAGGTGGGAGGGTTGCTTGAGGCCAGGAGTTCAAGACCAGCCTCAGCATCTCCACCAAAAAAAGTTTGAAAATTAGCTGGGTGTGGTGGCATGTGCCTATAGTTTCAGCTGCTGGAGAGGCGGAGGCAGGAGGATCACTTGAGCCCAGGAGTTCTGGGCTGCAGTGAGCTACAATCACTCCACTGCACTTTAGCTGGAGTGACAGAGTGAGACCCTGTCTCTTAAAAAAAAAGTTAGAGGAGAGTTTTTGTAGCAGGGCAGGGAGTATGAACATGTAATGGGATGCCCCAGTTATCCTCCTAATCCCTGTACCTCTTTCTACTCCAGATTTCTTTATTCCTCAGTCCCTATCACCTTGACATTTGGAGTAGTGATCCTCATCCTTGCTGTC